AGAGGGAATTCCAATCTAATGAACAAGATTTGAGAATGCAATTAAATGCCTCTGAGAGTAAATACGAGCAACTTCTTGAGAGCGTACAGTCATCCACACAAGAGGAAACAAATAAGATCTTAATATTAGAACAAGTTACATCCCTACAAAATAAATTGCAAGAGAAAGAAATGCAATTAAGTAATTTACAAATTAAATACGAAGATGTCATGCACCAACTAGATATATTGCGATCGGAAATGGAAGATGAGAAAATGATACACGAGAACAAAATTTTAGTACAACAAGAGGAGTACGAAAAGATCATAACTGACATGAGAAGCGAAATTGAGAAACAGGACGAAGGCAGTGATGCAGTCAATGCTCTTCAAATTGAGTTGGTGGCTACGAAGTCTGTCAACGACAGTTTGAATCAACGTATAGAAGAACTTAAATATAGTTATGAATCAAAAATATCGGAACTAAGCAAAGCCGTTCAGCAAAAAGAAAGTGAAATCTTCCAAAAAACGCACGACTATACAATTACTCTCGCCGATAGAAATAACGAATTTGAAGCTGTTAGAAAACAACTTTTGGAGTATGAAAGAAAAGTTGAGGACTTAACTTATGAAAAGGAGTCTGAATTGGCAGTTCTTCGGTTGAAGATGCACGAAAACACCGAAGATTATCAGAAATTACGTACAGAATCAGATAAAGAAAAAGTCAAATTATCTGAAACGTTAAATGAAAAGATTATCGAATGCACAAACCTTAATAGACAAATAGTCGATTTGAATAAAATATTAGAAGAATACGCAAACAAAGCGGCTGAAACTCAACTAGTCTTGGAGAGTCAAGAGTTAGAGATTGTGACGCTTAAAGATGAAATAGAAAGCATGAAGACGACACTGCGAGCCGCCTCTACAAGAATAGAGAAACACGTCACTTTTGCTTCGGACGCTAAAAACTCTGGCGATGGCGAAACAACAATGAGTAACGAGTTACTAGATGCAGTCCCGAGAGCCGAGTTAGATTTGGCTTTATACATGCTTCACCAAAGAGACGTGCGCTGCGAAGAACTGACGATGGAATTGACTCAATTGTTAGAAGAAAGAGATACATTACAACTCCGTCTGTCCGACAGTTTGCGTTCTTACGAAGAACTCAAATCGCATCACGGGTCTGTCGGCCTCGATAATTCAATGGACCTTAGCCAAGATACAATATCTGAACTGCCAAGCTTTAGTGTAGAAAAGGAATCCCAATTCGCCGACGTTCATCGTTCGCAAACATCTAGGAGTAGTAGTATTTGTGAGACCGACGGAGACAAACTACAAGCTAAGTAAGTACTTCCGAAAATATCGTGTTCTCTGCCATTCAGTCGGGCGTGATTGTGAAATGAATTGCAGGTTGTCCGAGCTGCGCAGCGTGAAACACAGTCGCGACGTGCGCCTTCGACACGAAAGCGAGCAGCGACAGCTCGGCATGAGGCTCTTGCAGCAGGACGTCGCCAATCTGCCTCCTCAGGCGAGGGAGCAGCTTAACCAGGCTCACCACACCCTCTGTGAGTTTAATATTACTTTATGAAACTTTTTTCAACCAATTGTGAGCTTTCGTTCTGTGACATTATGGTTGCTTTAATTTCTCACGAAGGATCAACTGAGCTAAGGCCTAAAGGCACAATCTTCTAATTCTTTACAAAGTGGTTTTATATTTCCAGCCCGTGACTCTCAAAGCACTCCCACAGTGCTGCTGAACTGGCTCCGAGGGAAGAGCACTCCAAAGGTTGTCCATATGTAAGTGAATGTTATGTAGTTCGTAGGCAAACTTAGAAGACGTTTCGACTGACATTAATCAAAATACAATTTTACCAAATATTGTTATTTTCTGCTAAAATCCAAATCCATTATTGTTTTTGAATAGTTGTTATCACGATCAGCCGTCAGTATTGAAATTGTGATGGGATGTTTAGAAATTGTTGCACTTGCACTCGGCACAATTTGATAGAGTTTGCGAGACAAACGTGTAATTGTGGATCACTTGCCACCGAAACATAAAAATGTTCACTATCATTTAATCGCGCTAGTTGTCTTCTTAAAGAATAATTAGAAACACAATATTTCAAATCGTGCTATTTTAGTTCAAATGTTATTTCTAATAATAAAACGCAATATTATAACAAATATCGCGAACGAACGACCTGGTATGTATTATAAATGCATCATTTGACCAAAATTTAAAATGGTGCTTTTCATTGACTGCTAATAAATGTTATGATTTTTTTGTAAATTTATATAAATTTCTATCATTTGATTTATTGGGAGCTTCCACGTTGTGCTGCCATGTTTGTGTATATATATATATATATATATATACCACATTGTATGGTCACTAATGTGATTCTGCAGCATTTGTATATTTAATTGTAAAAATTCTGAATAAATTATAATTTAAATACACTTTTTTATTTATTGACAACCCAAACCATTAACTAGTGTTACTAATTCCTTATTTTAGATTCCAACCAAGATTTCATACAACATGTATTGTACGGTAGCGTAACACTGCTTGTAATTACCTCATGGTGGATGGTGGGTGGAGTTACATAAAAACTATTAATGACAATTGAACTTTTGGAAACCGTCAAGTGACCAAGCGTGAGCTATGTTCTTCTTATACAATTACCAGAGTAGGCACTCGTGTCCAAATATTTTGTTATGAATTTTCATGGGAGAGCTGCAGATTGCTTCGTTATTACTTCTGCGATGATGTCTTTGTATTTTGAAGAGAACAAAAGATATCACCCTGCGTAGACAGTGATATTTACACATAATTAAATCCTTAACATTAGATCTGTTGGGGTTGTCAAGAAAAGGGCAAGGGATTCTAGAGTTAGGTGGAAAGGTACTATACTCCACAGAAATTCACGACACGATAAGAAAAATGAAAGATAATTAATTTTGAACATTTTTATTGCAGATTTCGATTATCTACAACATATTAAAGTCAACGAACTTTTATTACAGATAATATACTTAAAAATACATCACAAAATCAAATCAGTGTCAAACCACATTCAGCTTAAAAATATTTTTGATCTTTCGAATTTCGACCTATATGCGCAAATTTTAAGATCACGTCAGTTGTGAGAAGGGCGAACGGCCTACTTCCATGTTCAGTACTTATTTCTTAATATATTCCTCGAACTTATAATCTAAACTAAGAGCTTAAAGCCTATCCAAAGCCAAAAGCAAAAATAAATCTACGTCAAGACTAAGCGAATCGTTTCCCCAGTTTCACAAACAATAGAATACTAAGATATAAAAGATGTTATTCTGTGAAACGATATATTTGTGTGTTCACCACAACCGACATATTTACATTCCTCGTCCGTTAAACGAAACTACTCAAATTGCAGATAAATTTTTAACAGTTAGGTCGCTCATTAATATCGATTATGAGGAATACTTTATAGTCATTTTACTTATGGCACCAAATGCTTACAGCAAATATACTTTATATGTACACTTTCATATTTACAAAGTTAACCCAATAAAATAGAGAAAATGTTAAAGTAGAAACCTAACAAAAATATATGTGAGCCGTGCTGCGGCTACATTCGAAGCTTACTTACATGGAAGACGTTGGACTAAACTATTTAAAATAACTAATTCTTTTAAATGCACACGACTTATAGCAATCCTTAAGTTAGCTAACTACGCCACCCGTACTTACACACAATTATATCTATTATAATATCTGTGGAAACTATCACATTTTAAAGTTAAACTTAAATCGTCTATACTAAATTCCTATCTACAACGGAATAGAACCATTAAGTACGAAAACCTAGTTCTAATATCTATCGCCGTGTGTTTACCTATTTCCAGAAGTCAAAGTATTAGGAACAATATTGTATGGAAACGCTCTATATCTAATATATTCTATTAATAATAATTGAATCACAATTCTTTTATTTCAGATTTTGCTTATATTACCTTACAACATAACATAGTACTCCTACGTTAACATATTATGACTGGAAGTGACTATGAAATCAAGTTTAAACTGTTAGTTAAACTATCACATTATATATTAAGCACTTAAAACTACCTGTTGGTTCAGTGTCAAAAAGGAACAACGATTCTGAACAATTTAAGAACTATCTTTATTTTGTCGTCTTATAAATAATATAACTTTCATGTAGCCCTTGTCCTTCTACTATAATATATCAAATAATCTATATATACTGTGCAAGTGTTGGTAATACCATCATATTTCTGTTAAATGTATTTTAAATCTTGAATATAATATTTAAAGTTGCAACATTCAAGCGTAATATATTGCCTTCCCCCGATATACTTTTACTGTGATTAAAATGCATATTTAAAAAAAATATGATTCTGCCATGTGATATAAATGTTTTTATAATAATATATAAATGTAATATAATATTTAAGTTATTTGGGAAGAATATAATAATATATGTACTGCAATACGATATACTTAAATAAAAGGATCTCGTATCTTTTCTCTACGAAGAATTCACTTTGGTCCCGTGAGTTATGATATAGCAATTTCGTTATAATTGTAAGTTAGATTAGATATTTTGATTATCTCATACCAAAACCTTATATTAAATAATAAATGTATAATATTATCGTTTCAGGCGATAATGAAAATTGTTTCCTATGAATAAAGAGGTAGATCGTAATTTCAAGATACCTATTATGAACTATGAGAAAATTCTATCGGTGATTAATTTCCTACGATATTTAAGGCGCCTCACTCGTGCGGAAGAAATGTGAAGACTGGGCGCTCATTTACAAGAAGCACAAAGGGCCAAAGACGTCAACTATTAAGATAAACTTCGTTCTTAAATAAAAATTATACACGATAAGTAGTAGGTACTTATGTTAGACACATTGTCAGTCTTGGTATCAGTCCTCGATCACGGATACACCGTTCAAATGTTCTAGTTTATAGTATTTTCGTACTGCACCGAAGTTAAAGCGACAATTTCAGAAGTGGACATCTCTGACGTCGGTGGGTGTGGCAGCGTTATTGTGGGGCTTGTCTTGGGTCGGAGGAGGCGTCCAGCCCGACGCCTCCCGGCTCTGTCCGTTTGGGACGGACACTACCCGTTCAATCAAACCCTGCACCAGCTCCTCAATTTGCTCCAGGCACGTTTGTAAGCAGTCCTGATGAAAGACACGTCGTTAGAGAATAGCCAATTGTGATTATGTTTATATGAAGTTGTGTGGTGGAGATTAACTTACCAAATCGATGCCTGTCAGTTCGTGTAATCGAGGCAGGTGTCCGTCTAATTCCAGGCCTCGCAAAGCGGCCGCTATGCTGCACGCCGCAAGAGTGCTCGCCGAGTATAACGTGAACTCGTAATCTAAAACAAAAATATATTTTTTGAAATATCGTTTTAAACTTTGACATTTGAGGAAAACAAATGGTTCGTAAACTTCAGATTTACAAAATCTTGCGTAGACAAAAAGGGCGCCTCATTAAAGTACTTAAATTGCTGCTTATGATTGAAGCAACAAACGAGCACTCTACCGAGCGATATCAGTATAGAACCGGGTCAGCATGCTTACACAGTAAATGTAGGTACCTAAAAGCGGATGTGGAACAAAGTTAGTTTATATTTAACGAGTGTCAAGTACTTATGTCATAAATCATAATTATAATTGCGTATTTTGCGGGTTTCCCAGCTACGTGGTGGTTGGCGACAAAGTCAACGTATTAGCGGAGTAGCCCTGGTGGCACAAAGGAAATGGGTATCGCCTAATGAAATACGTCTCTCTCCTTCCCGCAGGTTGTTGGTCTCTGTCTGGAGAGTACAGTCTCAAAGGAGCCGGCAACCGCCCTCGCGGCCGCATTCCTCCGCTGTACCTGCGCAACCGATTTACTGGAATATTTCTCACGAGCTTGCCTGGCATAATATTATTATATATACAATATATCCTCCTAAAAAGGCATCATCGACCAATCCGGGCTTGTAACTCCGAATGAATAGATCAGGTTATATGTTACCACACGGTTTAGTTGGTAAAACATATAATCAAGCTAATTTTAATTTAATTAAGAACAGACTTGTTACATTGTATTCATTATCATTTCCTTAGACGCAATTTATAGTATAATAAAACAAGAGGAAAAACTTATTTGACCTTCAACGATTTGTCAAATACTTCCTCTCAAACCACACGCACTTACATAAAAAGAACAGTCAACCATTTATTTGGAGCGGGATTATTAAAAAACGGTGACCAAAAAAAGTTAAAAAGCCTCTATTGGGCATTGAAGACTCGGCGCACCGTAATCTCAAATTCTGAAAAGTATGGGAACGTAGACAATATAGGCAGAGCATCCGAGAGCACTCCATTCATGATTAAGTATATTCCTTTATATCGAACGACGTATGGTTACCGAACACTCTTTCAGCTTCATTTAAAGGGTTTTTTAATTCGTATGGCGGCGGAGTCGAGATAAAGGCTCTGAAGCAAGGAACAAAACGAAGATACGAAACAACGAGAGCGGCCGCTTACTCGAAGCATTTGCATAATCTGATGTTAATCAAACATTGAAGCCCTACCGCTTTGCAGTTCGACCCGCGGACCGGTCTCACGACCAGATAGCTCCAACTTAAGGGACCTTACGGAGTCTTGTTTGATATTGAAATCCATCCGAGAGTCATGACATTGAAGTACCCAAGTTCGCTAAGCAAATTTGGCAACGAGTCGAAACCCAAGCGGTTAACGATTTTGTCGCCTATGACATAATCGTCTAATATCCTTTGTACATGTATGGCGATACCGAGACATCGTTACGTCCTGATGTTCAATGTCTAAGTATTTGAGAGGTGAACGTTCGAGGCCGTAGTAGGAGAACGAGAACAATATAGACTTGTAGACCTAGAGCGTAGTGCCTCATTTAAGGAATTAATACTTCACATTTAAGTCTGTTTGCGCCTTTGACGAATGACGAAATCTAGTCACAATGCTGTGAGACTAATACAAATCAAGCTCCTAAGTTGTCCGGGTAATATGATATTAAAACTATTAATTCTGTAGCTAAGATGAAACTAATAAAAGTAACTTGTTTTGTAAAGTATGTCTGTGTGTGTCAGCACTAAAATAATCCATTACAAATTTAATATCCCGGCAAGTTATGACTGCACTGAGTAAATTGTACCATTCGAATAATGATACATAATGCGGGCTCGCTCGATACCGTGGAGTGTAACTACTAACTACCACTCATGCAGGGCAGCCGCCGCCACTTAACCTCCTGTACTATAAATATACCACAGACCTTGAAAGCATTTGAAAACGAAAGTTCTAAGTAAAATAAGACTGCAGTCATTTCATTATTACTCTATGTACGGTGCAAAATTCTAGCAGTTTATAAACGGCAATTGATAACGTAAGTTTAACCTTCAATTTTTTATTAATAAGGGGTACTTCATAGCGTTGCTGTCCCGTGTAAAAGTGATATTTTTGCGGTAATAAAGCATTGTATTGGGTATGAATAATCTACAGTCTGACAAGCGCGAGATGATACCCAAGGAGCATGTAAAATAAAAGAGTTGAAGCGTGAACTTCGCCAAAAAAACGACAAGGCGGCGGCGGCAAACAACAAAAACCGTTGCATAAAAACATATGATCCGCCGAGGGGTCGCGGGGCGCGGGCAGTCCCGAGGCGTGCTGGAATGCGATCAGGCGAGCCGCGTGGGAGGTGCTGGCCCCACACGCGCCCTCACTCTAACCCTCACTGTAAACAAACCTATTCACATCTCGGCAGCATCCCGAGCCTTTCCAAAGAAACCAACAAAAATCTGCACGCAACGTTCTAGGTTTAAAAATCTCTATGGTAGCTCGCGATGCCACGAATTAAGTACAACAAAGTACAAGCCAATTACTTACGACCCGTAATTGCATATAACGTGACTGCGGCCTATTTCAGTTGACAATCAGTTCCAGCAATTGTTGATAGTCCGAGATAGCGTGTAACTGCACCGTGGCTTCACCGTGAGAGCCATTTCATTGAATAGGTTAAAATATAATTGGGAATGCGCGCTATCTGACGTAAGACATGAATATGCATCTGAGACTTATTCCGGTTTGAGGCATAGTGCTCGTTCTCTATTCATTTGTCGTTAGGTTCAGTGACACGTGACATCGACATGACAGACACCGCGAGCTAGGAACGGTGAATATTCAGGCGACTGCGCAACCATCGCGACATGACATGATCGCTGATATTATACGCCGCTTAGACTTCGTTTTGATAACTTTCAGTATTTACCCAAACATGTAAGACAAAAGCTATAATAACTGGGTACAGGTTATACATTCTACGGGTACAGGTAAGGCGTTTGACAATATAACAATATTGCAATAATGAAATAATTCAGCAATACATAAAAATTTTAGTATAGTAACAACAATGAACTGTACTAATATATCAACTATGTAATTAATTTAGTTATTTTTAACAATATCCTCCAATCAGCCTATTAAGTGTTAATGAGGGTTCGTTAAATGAATACGTTCGCGGTTTTGCGCTGATAATAACTAACTGTATTTAGAACTCGAGATATGGAATACATTTATTGTTATATAAGACGTTATGTAAAGAAAGAAAGCTCACCTCTCACAGCTACTGTGATGAAGGTCTGGGCGTGCCTCTGCACCATTTCACTGGTGACACGTCCACCACGGAGTGGCAGTCGTGATATCAGGAGTGGTAGAAAATCGTGAGCCGTCACTCCTGCGACGTCCCATTTCAGTTTCGACAGCACAAGCAATTCCCAGCTCTGTTGACAAAATATACACTTAGTTGAATGCTAAATAATTCCTACTATTACTTACTAAAAATCAGCATAATATTTTTTATTTGTGCGTGCACAAAACTTCTGAGTGACATAAAAATGAAGATTAGCTTAGATTTATTATAAAGATGTCGAAAGCCGGCCGAACGCAAAGAACTGCTAGCCCAATAGCTAGTATAATAATTCCACTCCTTACATCCGCTGCATAATCGTAAACACGCCGAGTTTCGCTCGACTTCCCGGAACGGAACGTAGCTAGTCCCCAACACATTGTTAAGCTCAGTAATAATCAATATACTATTCGATAATTTTTACTTCGGCCTTTACCAGCACTGAATACGCTTAATTCCCCTCCTAGCTATAAACTCTTAATCTGAAACTTTGTCCAGCTTCTTTTGCTGACCTACATTAATTAATAAGTGCCGTGATAAGGACGACCTTTGTACAAGTTTGCGATATGAATGGTGAGTTTTATGAATAACTTGATTATTTTGTGCTCACACACACACGTCCGCATGTCAGCGATGCATGGCCGTTGACAGATAATACTCGATGTTTACATAATTCAAACGATGGGGTCGTCCAGACCGACAAACGTTTGCTTTTTTCAACTGAACAAATATATTCCGAATATCGATAAGGATAGAGTCGAGATTAGTCTGCGGTTCGAGTGAACTTGAGGCCTATTGGTACTTGATATTCAGTACTTGTGAATGAATGAGGCTCATCATCACTGGAAGTCGCACGATATGTGATCTCGTCTCGGTGTGCGTCAACTAACCGTGCGGTCTAAGTAATCCGGTTAATATGAAGCATATAATAATGGCTCATAATGCTTTGGAAACTAAAAAGAACAGGTGAGCGAAAGTGGTTAACGATGGTGGTATGCGGGTCGACCGCGCTCTCAAAGGATTCCGTCTCTCGCCTCGCTGTCGTTGAAAAGCTTCGGAAACAATGCGCTCGTAAAGAATTTACCGCAGACACCACCTGATACACCGTGCGGATCTACCGATTGCGTTACGTTCAGTTAAAGAACTAAGATCCGAAAACACGCAGCACGGGTCTCAGCGATCGTGTGAAAGTACAAATAGAACTCGAGACGTTTGGAATGCGGCTCATAAATTTCCAAGTCGGTGTTCATTAGAAGCTTGCGCGGTAGCAGTTATCGAGGCACGTTACAGCCAATAAAGCGAGCTATGCAAACAGCCCTCGACGCGCCCGCGACACACTCGCTGAATTCCGTACCTGTTCCCATGCTTCGTCCGATTTCATCGAGCACTACCTACACACAATACCTACCTCCTGCCTAAATGTATAACTAAATGATTTCCCTATGACCAAACTGTGTAGGGAGTGGACGGCGTTTTGGTCGGAAGCTTTACATGTTGAATACTAAAGTTACCTCGAGTATGCAAAACGTGACACGCATTCTTTTACACAGCTACAGTGGAGCTAACGTAATACGTTATCACAGCACATTCCTGTAAAATGATGGTGAGCGATTGCGAAATCATTACGTGTGGCTTATTTCACTTATTTGTACATTACAACGAACGTTAAGTTCGATCGTAAATCTTAATTTATGTATGTGACGAAGAACTTACGAAACTACAAATTTTCTAAATATTTAATAATATTAAGTTAACTTTATGAATTTGCCAATGGAGTAGTTTTACCAAGTTTAACCGCAAAGTCTTCGTCTTTGCCCCATTGTCTGTGCCCGCATAGAATGGGTTTTACTTAGAACAAAATGCTATTTATTATTGTTGCTTTTAGAGGTATCATATCAATAATGTTTTACATAATGTAGCAAATGAAATTGTAATTTATTTTATAGTTTAACTCTTCGGTAATGTACAGACAATAATGGAATCAATTAAAGGACGATAAAAGCTAGTTTATTTCTTTTGAAGATATAAATAGAATTTATTTATATGCATTAGTTTGGTATGGTGATAATATGAGTTATTCTGGCAGTCGTGGAGGTTTCTTTGGCAAGCAGCAAGGAGCCGAGCGCTGGAATGCGACCCGCCCAACCCCCTTTGCCCCTCTCACCCGAGAATAACGACTGCTCTCGTGGGAAACAATAGTAAGAAAGTACGAGCCAAATTGAATAAGGAAACCCGTTTGATAACACCTAACGCACCTTAAAATATTGATTTAAAATGGCATCGTATTAGCAATGCTCATTAGTGGGGAAAACAAGCGTAACCGAGCCGTGAGATCTGCAAATAAGTGTTCTTTTCTTCTTCCTGGTAAACTAAGCTTTTGTAAGCTACATATTTATGAAATGAAAAATATGACAAAAAAGATAAAATATTTCAAGGCGTGTCATTCAATACAGACGGGGACGAGTTATTGGATTTTCTCTGAGCGGTGCCTAAAAAGAAAATTCAATCAAGAATACGGCCTTATTCTTCAATTATAATAAGCGTTTACAGTGGATGTGAGAACGCGCAGGTTTTATGATCGTGCCGAGGCGGCGGTTGTGATTCGTGAGGCCTGCGTTAAAGCTGTCTCGGTCGCTCTTTTTGCTTGTGCTACGCTCACCTACCTTGACGAGCTTGATAACCAGTACGAGAGAAACCGCTCTCTGTATCTAATACACGATTTAAAAATTAAAATTCCGTTGAGTAAAATCCATATAATCTTTCTTATTAAATCAATAAGTTCATAATGCTTCGATTTATGTTAATCGTTTAGACTAAGAATTTCCATAATAATGTTTAATATTAATTGCCGGCGCATCCGCTGTTCTAGACACCCGCCATTCGTTTCACTTGGATAATCCATTGTAAACGAGCATAATATTATATTCAACCAGTGTGACGGGTACCGCCTTTAACTGACATAAGAATATTGGGTTACCTACTTTATGCCTACTTTCATATTTCATATTTGTAACAATATTCAAGCATTTTAATCTTACACAAAAATAGTTAATTGATTTATATATGCAAGGTTAAAAATTACATCAATTATCACTTATATCTTTATCTTGGGCTCTACGGAATGTCGTAGTTGTTCTACGAAAACGCTACGCACCTAACGACTAAGTTTGAAGCAATTAAAACTCAATTTAATTAACGCTTTTGTGTGTGTATATAAAACTTATCATTACTGTTTACAATTCCATAACCGTGTTTCTTTGATAAAGCATTTATTTCATTTGGATAATTGGTAGGTAACTGTTCAAATAACAACATTCACAACGTATTGAATAAATGATTAGATATATACGTACAGAGACTAAAAATAATCAAATAAATATTATTATTAAGAGAAATATCAAAGTGCGTCAGAAATGTAAAGTATTTTAATACTTCAAGGACGTTTAGAATAGCATTAACGATTGTCATTCGCATATAGAAAACCTTTGGGAAGCAGCTCGTAGGATCGTCAGACAAGGCAAGTCGCGATCGCGCCGTGAGAAAAAACAAGCGGCATGCTTCGTCTGTAATTGGTCTGATTGAAACGCGGCTCTCGTTCGGCGGTTCCAAGAAGGCTGCCGGCTCGTTAGGGGACACTGTCCGGGACCCCTCCTCCCAGACCTCACGCCGCATTCCTCCGATTTTGGGCCTAACTTTTTCCACCGACCGGCGGAATGGTCTAATTCGATTTTTATGTAATAGTCCAAGTAGAAACTAATGCAAGCAGTAAAAACGCCGCCAGGTATCAGGGTAAGTAAGTATAGAATGCGTTAAAAACAAACGAACTCGATTGTATGACGCTAAAAGATGCGGCGTGCACTTATTATCTACGGGAGGACGGGGCTCCGACGGGTGGCCGCGACGCCGAATTGCATTGCATATCACTCGTAATATATTCAACATATTATATGTAGCGACATTTTATTATTTTTAGATTTATCAATTGCTTATTAGGATTAGTTTAGTTCGAAATCTTGTAATATTATTTGAGAAACGAGTTGGTACTTCAAAAACCTTTATGGTAAGAATACGTTTTTACGCTAAGCTATTATTAAATTAATATAACCCCTAGTATGACATAGTGTAAAATATAGCATTGTGCTATAAAATGAGAGTTATGAAATCAAAAATATATTAAAAAATTTAGTAATAATAAAATAAATTTAATATATTAATTAATTTCTACGACCTACAGGTAACTAACCTTAAGGTAGATTTAACACGCAGGGCAAACGAATGATTCATTTATTTACTTTACATAAAATTAATACTAAATCTACGATCAAAAAAGTAATCGTTAGTGGGCAATGACCGCATAATTTAACCATCTATTATTATGATAACTCGAAATTGACAAAAAATGTACTTTTACGATTACTAAGAAAAGTAGGTACTTCGTTAAAATGTTACATGGCACTTAATCACGTAACTTGCCTCGCCCTAACTCTTATGTGTATAATAACTAGATTGATAACACAACTTCCGCTGCAGAAAGCCAACTACAATTTAAATTACTTACGAATGTGATAAGTTTTGAAACAACCCGAACGTCATATCATTTTCAATACAATCTGAATTGCATTCGGTTATTTATGATAAGGTGAGGTCATATCGCAACATTTCGTCCAGTATTCAATGATAAAACTTACGCATAAATCCGAAATCGTAATGCTGTTTGCCGTGTAGAAGACCAGTAAATCTGCAGGGAGGCCTCGCGAACTCGGTTCCCGTAGCTTGGATGCTAGCAGCAAACAGGCCGTGCCCAGTAGTTGGAGCTGACTTTTCCCAACCGTGCAGGTACTAAGGAACCGATCTAGGTAGGACATCGCCAGCGTAAACACCTCTTCCTGGCAGTTCTGATCTTCGCAAACCTGAAAAAACGATACGGTTCAGTACATTACATTTAGTGGCCATCACGGCGCCGCACCTCGCTCTTATCACACTGAATTCCTGATAACCTATATATTCCATAAAATTGTAATTCATACTAAGTGCGATAAATGAGCCTCGTGCTTTCCTACTTGGGCTCTTATCGAAGCGGGTACTCTTCGTTGCTTTCCAAGAAGTAACGGTCAAACGTATATTAAGGAATTGAACAGTTCTTCCGTAGTCGTGTTAATACCTAGTTGAGAATCGGTTGTACTTAAAAGGAGAGAGTAAAGCGAAGTGCAGTGATCTACTTAGTAAATAGAGAACGTCACGAGAGACGCGAGTCGGTCGCGCATAGTTTCGCACGGTGTAATCCGAAACACGGATGCACCCACAGTGGGACCGGCAAGAGCCTCAGCTGATGGTCCCACGCTCGACTGTCAGCTGATTAACTCATAGCTCAGCAGAACGGGCCATTGTTCTGTTACAAGATTACTGGGTGCGAATACTTCAACATCATTACGTTGTTAGTTTTTGTGGCGTTTGTTAATACCCATTGTGTATAATACGTATAGAAACAATAAGAGTATATATTGTGATATCGCTTCTCGTTAAATCGTTAGCAGCAGGAAAAAAGTTATTTTAATTATATTTGGGTATATAACATGATGAAATCTACCTAAAAATGTTTGATTTGCACCGTGATGTTATTTAGTGGGCCTTAACTAGAGACTATGAAATGTCATTGCCCTTTCAGGTGGTGTTTTTCGGCAGGGCTTCTTGTAATTTGGTATGCGACAGGTTTAACGTATAAATGGTGGGCATAATGTGTCGGCAAACTTGGTAAAGTGGCAACGAGGCGCATGCGTCGGCAGCGCAGGGTGACGTCAGCGCCCGCGCCGCTCCCACGTGGCTCGAATTTACAGCTGACTGATCTCATATGGTTAGGCTAAGATAACCCTGGATGTATTATCTTTCAAAGCAGAACCTATCTTTATAAACCCTATTTCACCGCATAGGTGAAATCTGCATAATCAATCAATGCAAATAAAATATTGTGAAATTAACAATAAAATATCATGTTACAATTATTACATGTATGAGAATTATAAAGTTTCCTAGCGATAGATAAAAGCGCGTCCGGCGTCAGCTGTGTGCGTGTCAAAATCAGCTGATTATTCAAATAGAACGAGCGCTCGCATCGGTCGGCGACCGCGGCGTTCCGCCCCGCCGGCCGGCAGGGCCCCTCGCGCAATCAACAGGCACTAAGCACAACATTCCTAAACACTACTTTAAGTGATAACATAATGCTCCCGATCCCAACATAGTAAAATATTTCATTTGATATTTTGAATTGATTTCTAATCAGATTCCTATTGGAACGTTATAAACATGATCAGCTGATCATGTAAACAATGACGATAGTGGTGTTATAATCGCTAGAATATTTAAAATAGTTTTTACCATAATGCTTATCCTTATGGCACGTTAACTAGAGAAAAATGCACAAGATTTTCTAGACCACGTTTCTATCATACACTCGGTTAACGAATCATAATATCTCCATACACCTAGACGTATGAATCGTTTGGCACCGGCGGCAGGCGAGCGCTTACGCAGACACCGAGGTACCTACACGTGGCCGAGTGGTTAGCAGATCGACAAGATGGCGAACGAGTGGGCCCTGAGCTCACCTCTAACATCCACTCGGCGACCACTCGGCGCATATGAGGGGTGATCTCGGTCTGCACGGTGCCGAAGTAATTGGCGGTGACGGCGTAGCTCTCCTCGGTGCGCAATAGGTTGTCCAGCACGCGCCGGCGCAGCAGCACCGGGTCGGCGGCGGCGGCGGGCGTCGGGCCGGCCTTCGCCCGCTCGCTGCCGGGGCTCACGCGTTCCGTGCACAACAGCTCCATGCTACACCGCACAGCGGCTTATCTAGGCCTCGAGTTACCTCGCGGAGTCGTGTCGAGAACAGCTGACTGAGCGCGCGTGTGGAGCCGTTCGAGTTGCGGTGCGACGACGGCGACAGCCCGAGTCACAATGAGTGGCCGCCGGCGGAGCGACCGACCGGCCGCCGAACATATGATCGGCGGGGCGAGGGGAGGGGCGCCGCCCGGCCCGTGAGGCCCGCACGCAGGTTTCTCCCGATTCGACGCTCGAATAATAAAACATAACACGTTTTCTTGCTCTCTCGTATTCTATCCCGATTCTTGCTTCTCGTTCTATTATTTACAAAATGAAATGAATTCCACGAGCTGATAAAATATCCGACGTAACTTTAAAAGCACTATTATTATTTTATTATATGTATTTACCTAAGAGTATTGATAGTTACCTACATAATGAAAGGCGAGAGAAAATGATATTCATTTTTCCTAACTAAATTATTAATATTATCTACCGATTAAGTTTCCCAAAGGGGCACCCTAGACAATTTACGTGATTGTGATGATTAATACCCATGGACACATCAACAGCCTTTACTATAAATTACACTACGTTAGTAATTACGGCTTTTTTGCTTACCTAGTTCAAATATTTAAAAGTCCTTGACATCAATAAAAAGCAGCCTACATTCTAGCCCTAATCGTCTAGATTTTTCCATAGGTAGGTACCTAAGTGTTACAAATGAATGCAGTTGTATGTAAAACCAATTACAAATTGCGACAGAAAAAATCTCTTTCAAGCAAAGAGGCGATAAATTTCATCGATATCATCATCAACGGCATTGCAAATGCCTGCTAATTATACCAACTGGAACTGGCCATGGTGACAACGTAACGGCACTCTAACAGTTTTTCTAGAATCCTATCATAACCTACCTTGATTGCTATTCAAAATTCATCTGTAGTGCTTACTGCTTTGAATAAATTACATCGCATTTCACCCAAAACCTGAATAGATGTTTCGTTAGAGACAAAAAATGTTGCCTAATTGTTGACACGCAAGTCAACGGTCTAGCCTAAAGTTATTGTTGCTAATTAAGTAGGATATGAACCCGAAAAGTAAGTGTTAGTAAAGTGTTTACTGCGTTAGAGAAATAAAATAAGTATTAGTTAGTAAAGTATGTGTATCTTTTTGTATCCTCAGTAATGTGCAAAAGTTTACTCCTAAATAGAAATATGAAGTGCCCTTTTTCGCATTGTTCGTCTCGACATATAACTTTATGTAGATATAACTATATGCGGCGTACATTTAATTTTTGTTCTAAATCGCGTACTTCATGTACTTTTAGTAGAAAAAAACTAGTAAAACGACTTTTGCACATCCAATCACATTGGCCAAGTGACTGGATTTTGTAACAAAAACATCTATCATGAATCAATATACATTTAAGAAACACCGTTCACAAATTACATATTATGTGTTCGCACAAGTACTTAAGGAGACAATTTCATTAATTGCACTTTGGTAACTGAGAAGAGGAAGTAAAAAATTTATTTTATGTTTACTAACCAAAAGGAGAAACTACTCCTTATTTTATACGCCCCGTTGTCGGTTGTCGGTCCCAAACCGTTTTTCGCAGAACCCATTTCGTGTACAGACTTTTGGAATAGTGATTGAGTTTAATTCTCATTTGTTTCACTCAGTCTTTTTCGATGCTTTCTTTTATAATAGATCATTCTGATTAATGAATTAACAAACATGAATTTATAATTTGTTGATTTATGCTGTTTTCAAATGAATAATAGTAATTATCTGTGACGGTAGATTATTCTGATAATTTTATAACTAAATAACTTGCGAACCAGGTATGAAAATAATTGCCTGATCGGTTAACAACAGATTTAGGCAGTGAAAGACCTGTTGATGCTTCCGAAGGCATTAATGATGGTATTTTGTAAGGTATAGTAGACATATCTAAACATTAATTCTTAATGATAGACTGTGAGTAAGGTTGACAGTGTTTAGAGGAATTCTGTGAATTGTGAAAATGTATTCTATTAAATAATGAAACTAATCTATATCTATACACAAAGAACCTCGACAAATAGAAAGATGAGTGGAAGACGTGTGGAAAAACCCAAATGCGAAGAAAAAGTGAGAGTGATTAGAAGGATAATCTGTTAGTGCACCGCGTCTACATAATGCATTGAGGAAAAACTAAATGATATTATTGTAGAACTTATCATAAACACGATCGTTTTATTGCCAAACAGCTGTGTCACCCAATTATTGCACATTCCATGCTTCAATGTTTGATTAAATTTAACATACATATTAATGTAATGGATTTTCGTATTCTGTTGATGTGACATAAATGTTCTGTGACCGGGAATCTCAAGATATTAATTAAGTATCAGAATCAATAAATTGGATTGGTCGATGCTGTTGCTGGATACAACAAAACTCCTTTCGTAGATTTGACTTTTATTGCTTCACTTCATAACGTGGGCAATCCTCTTATTTCGTCATACCTTGCCTATAGTGAGGCTCTTTTAATGCCCTAAACTCCTGAACGAAGCGTCATCACATACTATAATTTTAATTATCACGCTGATCAAATCCTAAAATTGCGATATTATATAAGTTGATGTAATGGTGTTCTTCTCTTGTACATTTTTACGACTTTGGTAGCAGTAAATGTAAATTTAGAACCATTTTCTTGCTTTTCTTTTTTTTCCTTAATTTGTTTATGAAGTACACAGTACAGTACAGTACAGTGGTACAGTGAATAAATTATATTTCAATTTAGAATCATGTTATTTGCATTTTGCAAAAACCAAAACAAAGTATAATTCACAATTTCTATCATTATATTAATTCTAGGGCGAATATATTTTATTTTTTCAAAATATAATATGTGACAGCATATAAAGCTTTTTCCTAAAAAATGACATTTAACTTTACATTTATTATTTGAAGACAAAGGATCATAGATTATAACCTAACCGATGTGAATGCTTTGACAGTTGCGTTACCTTCATTATTCGCTTAGGCTGGAAAATCACCATTTTGTTTGAAATTCATATAAAGGCGATCTTATAAAATAGATTAATAGCTGTTATTGTTTATGCAAACCTGCTTAATGAGGGAGCCAAGGTATTTATTTTTTATTAAAACAGGGGTCTACCAACTGATATACACCTTTACTAACTTAAAATTAAAATAAATAGCTACAATTACAGACTGACTCAGCAACAATCAAGCCGTTTATGGACCTCTCACTATACATTAACAAATCACTCTCGCATCAGTCTCGGCGAAGTAGCGTCTATATGTAGCCCGGCCGTGCTTGGGTACTCAATGTCGGAGACCGAGAGCTCCTTGGTGCTCACGATGCACTCAAGAAATGATGCAATGTTTGGACATACTACATGACAGCCTGAACTGAGCTACTGTTCTTATTTTTGGCTAAGCGAATACTACAGGTTATATATAGACGCTTCAGTAAGAGTATTTCGTTTGTAAATATTATGAATTGATATTTAGCTTGAATAATCCCGGTTATCTTTGTTAAATAAAAGTATTTTTTCACTAAACTCAGATGTGAGTTTTCAAGTCACTTAAAGCTATGGAATTAAAACCGTTGACGACATCTCACATTAATTTAAACGATTTTAGAAAAAAATCAATGTTTCCCCATCACGATTTCATCTTTACCATATTTTGTGGTCGTATCTTTATTATTCTATTTACCGTTTTTTCTGCTTTTAAACAGATTTAACAATATGTAATTGATATGATAGAAAAGTATAGTTTTTGTTTGTTACAATCAAAGCCATAAATTAGTACAGGTTAATATTTATTGTTCTACAAGAGGTTCAAACACAACTCCTCTCATCTCATCAAAACACCGTTCAATCTTCCCCCCACTCACCTTACTTGATTGTCCACATTAGCTATTGGCTGAATCGTGGATTAGTGGTTGACGAAAGTTATCCTGGGTTCATTTAAATAAAAACTGTCTCGTTCGGTTGACACACACGGCTGACCACATGAATCAGCCGGTGATAAACACCGTACCAACATTTTTGTTGTATACTCGTATAGAAATACATTATGATGTATTTCTATACATTATGATGTATTTCTATATTATATGGGCTGTGGCCCATGGGCGGATCGTGAATTTGTGGGGTTCTGGGCTACTACGGGGAACTCCCCCGTAATAGAAGCACACGCGAAAATATACACTGACCGAAAACAAGCGACGGGGAATTCCCCGTTTCATTCGATAGTCGCGCATTGCACATGTGTTGATTGATCTCAGATTCATTGTGATTGTATTTTTTAAATTTCAGATATTTTTTTAAATTAAAAATATCGCCAGTTGTTTTCAGCGGGAACCTTTTTATTCACGGGATCCTGGGCTGCAGCCGAAAAAGTCCGTAGATCCGCCCCTGTCACAGCCAGCATACGAACACACGACATCAGGGTTGGTTTGCAGTCACTAAGACTAAATATATTATAGCAAATTGTAAATCGAAATTCTATCACATTTAATCCGCTCTGCAGAATTCTAGAAATTTACGAAATACCTGAGCGGAATACCTGAAATTATTTCCAGAAGGTATAGACTGACAAAAAAAAACTCCAGCGTGCTGAAAGATGACGGAATCATGTAATGTAGTTTCAAGGACACTACACACATACACACATAAGATTAGGAGGGACGAGGCCCAACCCACTGAAAATGCTAAGATATATTCGTAATTAATCAGTCATGGTACATATGCCTTCTCTATGCTTCTTCTCTTTGTGTGTTGCCTACTATGCCTTGTAGGCGGCCGCCACTTACGTAGCCTAGATATAGGTTCTTAACCAAAGCCAATAACTTCACAAGTCAACGAAATATATTCATATGTTTTAAGTAGCGACAAAATCATCGATAATACGCCAAACTCCCTTCTTTGTAAGAGTATAAAATAAACTCGTGTTCAAAGTCGATTAATTTAACTAGTAATAATTGAGTTAACGAAAGAGAATATTATTCTTTGCCCACCGGGCAAGCTCTGACTCCAGTATTTTTCGTATGGATATTTAAAAATAGAGGACTATATCGAATTGCATACAAATACGTCGGGGTCGGGATTGCTATTGGAAGTAACAGGTCCTTGGCAAGTTATTTCTGCAAAATTAGGGCTAATGTCAGGTTAATAAAACATCCAAGCTAAAGTAAATTATCGTTTAAAAGGGTTTGTGTTTTAAAATAGACCGCGCGGTGGACCTTTTCTGTTACAATACAATGCTTTAAACAGCTTACAATAGTTTTCATAACTGTTACATTGTCTTATTCTTAACGATCATAGAATTACTTAAGTTAGCTTAGCTTAAAAAACCGAAGGATGTTATCGATTTGACGCAATTTGCGAATGAAATCGTTTTGAGACTGTATCTATTATCTGTTAAGGGACTATTTCACGGTAATTTATTTCTTAACCGGAGTAAAATGCGATTAACTATCATATTTAATTCTTTTATTTAACAGAAGAAGAAGAGGAAGAATTATCAAATTTAATAATCTTCAAGTGTATACTCATTACTTGCACTTACTAATACATTTACTATTCGTTTCACAGGCCGTATAATGTTTTGAAATTTTCTTGTTTCGGACAGATTTTTCTACGGTCTATTGACGAAACGAGATTCCGAGACAAATTAGCAAAAGTACACTAAACGTACTATTTTCGAATGAATTGTTCGAACGGTGCCGGCTACATTCCATTTTACCGCGTTCCAAGCTCCAAGTCGCATATTCTGAGAAAAAGTGACGTCTCTCTCGCACTAAGCATTCCACTTTATTGCATGTGTTTTGGAATCCTGCTCATTGTTTTCGTTCAAGCTCATTTCAATAGCGCAGAAAGATTTCAAAAGATCCGGTCAAAGGTCTTCACTCTAGAAATTCTTATGCTCCATTCTCTTGTTTTAGGGAAAATTCAAGTTAGTTGAACATTAGCCTCCTTAATTCATAGCCATAGACATCAACGTAATATTTACTACTAACAAAACACACACAGAAACACACAAAATACAATAATCAATAAAAAAAATAAAAGCATAAGAGATAATATTTTTTTTCTTTTAAAGAAGGAAGTACGTTTTAATTGTGTATTGCGTGTGTGCTGTGGTTGTAATTGGCCCTGGCTCAAATTTAGCTTTATAAGTACGAGCCAAGGCAGCTTCTTCTGGCAAAAGGTTTGCTTACTTTACTTCGTAACGGTTTATGTAAAAGACCGTAATTTATATAAAATATATCATAAAGTTCGAAAATTGTTTGCAAATAGGTAAGATATTGTTAAGACATCTTATACGTTATTTGGGGTTTAGGTAATTATAAAATGTAGCGCATTTAAAGAAAACTTTCTTTTAAAGTATTAAGTAAAGCTTTTTTGCCTGCAATTTATATAAAATCTCTGCAATGTTATAGATATCGCACATACGGGTTTTGTGGTGAGACAATATGCTATCACTGCTCTCATTAATATGAGCAGCCTCCAAATTGAAGGCATATAACTATTAGTACTATTTTCGATCTATTGTCTTATCGTAATAGGCTATGGTTACTCTACAGGATATACCAGACATACCCGTTAAAGTTTGTGAGGTCTCGGTCAATAATTCTCAAACGCTGTCGGAACAGTAACTCGACAACGATGATTATCTATTAAGTTGATTGGTCTTATCCTGACAAAATAAACATAAGTTGTGGTTTGTCCCAATTACTGAAAAAGTTACAATTATAACTCCAACGCTAAAGAGGACTGATGATTTCTATGAAATCTAGAAAAGCACTGATATTCCTCATTTGAAGGTATCCAATTTAAGGCTTTAAGCTCACCTGCTAAATGATAAGCTGCGCATCTCTAAGATGATGGTAGATCACGGTTAATCGAATGATACATTTTTATATTCATTTACTGAAGAAGAGAACAAACGTATTTTATTATTATCATTAAGAAATACTAACTTTACTTTAGGATCGTGGTTAAAATATTATCTAGTTAACTTCTGAACATCAAACGGACGCAGAACCAATAAGAACTGGCAATATATAATAATATATAATTCTTTTTAATTGTCAACTATACGTACAAATACATTAATTATTATATACTTACCTACTTCTCTAAAAATATACTGGACAGCATAACTATAACACCTGTCCACGGGCGCTGAAAAGGTAATAAATTCACGTTTATATGTGTCATACAATTTATTTAAATATCCAGTAATCAGGTTCTCCAAAGGCAATAAAATGTATATTTTTGCGAATTATACTCTTTATAGATAGAAGAAAACATTGGCTGTATTTGTTGGCTGAATTATCGCATGGGCCTCAGTGAGACTTCGGCAGTGGCCGTTGAAAAACGCGACTAGAGACGGAGACCATTGACCTGGTAAATAAATGTTTACTGTCCTTGAACGGCGCGGGCCACGTCCGGCGTTACGTCACCCAGGAGGTGCCTCTGGGTTTCACTAAAACTTACTTACGAGTCCTTGGGGATTACTTGGTTATTTAAACAATATGAAACATTGGGTTTTATACTATTCTGTAGGTATCTTAAATATATTGACACCATCAGGACGAGCATAAACAACTTTAATATAATGTTACCTAGGTATGTCATATGATAACATAGTTACCTATTCTTGCGGCAGTTGCAATAAAGAATTATAACTTCAATATTTGTTCCTGCGCTAACTGCCTCCTTAGAGTTATTATTTATTTTATTTATCTTTCTTTAAAAGAAATGAATGCGATATGAATTTTACTTTCTAATTTCACGTGGCAATATTATCAATGTACAGTGATAACAATTAGCCCTAGATTACCAGATCTCGATAAAACGAAATCACCCGCGTCGTAATAAGGTCAACGACTTGTCCGGTGTTCAATGAGAACGCGAAAAAGCCAAACACAATCTAATATAACGCTCAAAACTAATCATCTACGAATTTATCAATCAATAAATTTATATTTTTAATGTTTTCTAGTTTCCGCTCGGAGCTCATTTCGAGGATTTCAATGAGATTTAAAATAGTAAATTGAGGCTAACAATTAAAACTTAATTATGTCTGGACGAGCATAATGTCAGTTTACTTATTAATAAAGCCAATAAAAAAGGTAAATAGTAGAACAATAAAGATCTTTGATAAAAATGAGCTGCTCTGCTACGTCGGCTAGGCGGTAAAGTGAACCAGTCTGGAACGCCCTTTTTGCTAATTAATTCGTAACTGTTTATATTCATTTAGTCTGTGCGAACTGTCTCGGCCGTGCAGTATGAGACAAAAACACGCTCAACGTTGAGGTATCAGTGCATGTGAAATAAGAGTAAGGGCATGTCGCACGGGAGGCTCAGCAGCGCAGGCGCAGGACCGTGTAAGTACTCGATCTGGTACTTCCACATAGTTGAGCGCGCGAGGCTCACACACTTTTTGCTGGGCGACGGCGGCGAAGGTCGGTCGAGGCGAACCACGAGCGATCTAACATTCCATAGACTATGAATGAATAGTCGCTCGACTGGTCGACGGTCGCATAATAAGTTACTTCAGATTAATTTGACAACAAACATTAAAGTTGGCGAAAACCGGAATGACAGTGCGCACCCGCCCCGTGGGAACGCCGAACCGCTCGTCTCCGCCGATTGTCCGATCGATGTACTTATATGATGCTGCGATCGTTGGGGCTTTGTCGAACAAGCCGACAATTTGCTTCGGAGCGTTTTTGCCTCGCAATTCACACGTTATGTTAATTAAAAAGCTTTAATTGAAGTTGTTATGCAATATGATTTTTTATTAATATAACGTTCTTTCTACAACGTGTTGTACATTCGAAAATACTAATTGGGTTAGAATCTCAACTTCGATAACTTGGCTTTTCGTTCAACCGTAGCAAAGCTTATAATCAAGTTTAGTTTAAATTAATAATGCAAAAATGATGTCCTAAAATTGTATCAATTGATACGAATAAATTAATGGAAATATCGCAGGTACAAATGTGAGATTCCAACGCTTTCTAATTAGCCAAATCGTTATCGGCGTCGCGACGTGGTTGTGGCATTTTGTGGCACCCACATTAGTTCGAAGAGCAATAAGAATATTAGGACTACAAGGATATTTAGAGGTTTTAGCCGCGGCTAGCCTCGTGTAGATGTTGTAATAAATTATATCTACCTTGCGACTCCCGTCCTTTAAATTATTTACTGATGTGTTCCAGTATAAAAATATCCTATAATCATAAGAACCTATAAACTGCGAACATTAGAAATAGACATAATCCATTTTGCTCCTATGAGCTTATAGCGAACTCAGAAAGAAAAATCCATTAGTATAAAGCCTTCTTTCCAACACACGACCTAAGGGTTGTCGATCTCTTTAGACTTAAAAAAAATAAACAAATGTTTTTCGTAATTACGTAATAAGTTTATCAAAACTTTAGTCCTGACGAAGCTGACATAACATACGTTTTTTCATAGTTTTCCAACATTTAAATGAAAATTAATTTGGATTCGTTTCCTTTATAAGGCTCCCTTCCTTTTCAATAAAACCTGTAATCTTATTGCAAGAAGCAAGTGGAAAGCAACGGTCGCCCACCGTTCGTTATTTAAAATTCGACCGTTGCAGAATTATGTCGTTATATTTCTGACGATGCTAATGAACTTCTGTTTTTAAATTTATAACGACAAAGGATTTGAAGGTTTCGCATAGATGAAGCAAATGTACACCACATGAAGAGGTCAAAGTTCTGTTGAATAGCGTCTCATGTGTTATGGAGGCTATTAGAGGATAGATGTATGGCCGAATCGCCCCCCAGCGCTCGACCCTGAACCTCAAGTGATGTTTATCTAGCGAATATCAAAATACGCAATTTCGGCAGATGCTCGCCAAAAGATCCTTGATAAATTAAACGTAAAAAAATGACTCGTAGCTCGTGCAGGACAGAGCTCACGTTGCGATGTTTGCTAATAAATAGGGCACTACACGATAATTTTGAATTCCAAAACTAGTTTTGAGTACCGTCGGGCAATTTATCATCTAATTTATCTCATTTTTTATGTTTCCCCTTTTACAGGTTTATGGTGGAAAAACGAGTTGCATGAATGAAATTGTTAATTTTCATGTTGTGTTTCTTTCTTGCGTAGTCGAACGGGGTAGAGTTCGCGTATTTAGGCAAGCAAGTCATATGTGATCAGTTTATATTTTTCACTTTTAAAATATATAAAGTGAGTGATTTCACGTGTGTGTGTGATGTAGTTAAAAAAATAAACAAAAGGTCAGGTTAAATAATCGTCAGCAATTTACCACAAAACCAGTCCGAATTGGGTCCGTCCTTTGGAGAACACCCGCTGTGTGTTATCAGTCCGCTACTTCTATGTGTGCCTACCCCGGTGCCTTCACACAACATCCTGTCGTTTACTTTTTCCTTCGGGACCTCTCGTCTTGCCCGCATTCCTGAGATTGAACACGTCCTCTTAGATATCTTACTTGATTAAACATTTGTTAGTAAAATTAATTTAAATGAAACTCATCGAAAATCATCAAGTTCATACAAAAACAGCAAAAACATTGTCTAGAATGGTGAATATGAATTCTAAAGAACTAACAAAGTTGGCGGTCGTAGTCGCCTTGAGTCGGCCGTGGCAATGACTCGCGGGCCTTGAAACCGTGGTAGACAGAAATCGGGCCTCTTCGCTATCTCAAACTATTTATAAAACACGACATGAAAGGCAGATTCGATTACTAAACGCTTTATTGATAAACAAACAAAGCCTTATATAAATCTTATTCATTATTCTGCTAGAAGCTCTAAGATTTTTTTATCAAAAATATGAAGTATTCAAGTTTCACGTATATGGTAAGGAATCTTTTAACATTGTCGGGGCATATTATCTTAGAAAACACATGTAAGAAACGTATAAATATTAAACAGATGTGCAGCATTATTGATACAAAGTATACAATCGTTTGCCGAATACTTGTTAGGTGATTTGATATTGCGAAATTTGTTGAACCCACTTCGACTCTTATCGAATGTGTTCGGTCATATTTGCGGCCGAATGGAGGTGTTATCGTTAATGCCGACGTACTTGTGAGGCCCATATTGCGAATGTACTAATAAAGCGCCCACTTAACATTCACTAAATAAACTGATCTTGCTTAAACGGCATTCTTAATTATTGTAACCAAAACAAGTTTATAATCAATTTTTAAAAGAAAATATATATTTTTTTAAATTAACATTTGTATTTTCATTTCATTATCAACGTACACTTGACATATTAAATAAGAAACCAAGTAAATTTTAAAGACATGAAATGTCTATGAATTGTCTTAGACATATTAAATAAGAAACCAAGTAAATTTTAAAGACATGAAATGTCTATGAATTGTCTTAGACATTTTACGAGTATAGCGAAGTGCCGGCGTCAACCAGGAAGAGTTATACAAATATTCAAATATAACACGGGGCGTTTTGCACATAATAAGTTGTATAACATCTCGTAATCATCAACGGTATACAGAATTCAAAGTTATCGTTGTGTCTGTATGTTGAATGATGAGACATGGAGTTTTTAAGAACATTATACAATAATCAACGCTTATTATATGATGATTGATACATTGTCTCGAATCTAATGCTATATTTATATAACGGGGCAAACAAAGTTTTTAGTAGTCGTTACTGGGAAGGCTGCAATCACCATGCTTATTCATTACAGTTTTTACTTCATTGCACGGCACTCAATTAATCATTTATTCACCCTCAGACTACTAAATTAGTTCCTAGTTCCTATCGTGGCCTATTAATGGTAATGATGTTCTGTTATCTTTTACCAACCTTTTTAAAAACCTTTATTGCAATATTCAACACAGCGACCATGTGAAATTTTCACCAATACGCCTGCCCGATCGATTGTAATACTTAAGTAATAATTACCGAAAAATGTACATGTAAGCGAGTTTTATTGAATCATACAATTCAGCACATATTCTATTCCCGAGGAAATACTATAGAAAACAAATGCTGGCGCCTTTAATTATGAAATACTATATATAACTAAATAATGTTGTTTTTTCAAATAAACGACATTTAATAAATTCACATATCAGTGTAATCCCTATTTTTGCGATTCAAGGGTTTACTATATTTAGGACTGTTAACATTGCGATATCACGAACAAAAACTGCCAATAGCGGTATGGAGAATGCGTGCAAGATAATTAATTAAAAGCTATTAATCGACGATTCTGCTTAAGCATTCTGTTAACGGAATAATATTGATGTGAACTTTTTCCATGGCTCTTCGATTTACTGAGGTCGTCGAGAACTCATCTCAAGGGCTTTGTTTATGTATACTCCAGCTCCCCGTCGAAGTCTAGGCAACAACCCCATGATTTATAGCGTAAAAGCGCCATGACTAAGTTGTTTACGTATATAATTTATATTGCACATAGAAAACATGACATAGTGTAATTGAAAATAGTAATAATCACGAAATACAGTCTCAGACAACCCATTATTTATTTAACAACTTTACTACAATGAAGGAATATATTTTTAGTTACGTTGTTCCTTAGTAGCATGGCGCACGGGACAGAAACAATTATGAAAATTTGTTGTCTGTACTTAGTGACTGAAAATTCAGATTTTTTATAGAGCTTATTGGGATCACAACTTGAAGAACAGCGTTTTGCTGAACACGTTTCTCTAAAAACATTCGAAACGTCGAGATATGTAGAGAATAATAAACGTATTAAAGAAATGTGTAGTCCTCGTGGAAATCGCTGCGAAGCTGATTTAAAAAGAATCATATAAAAATCACCACAACAATAGAAAACAATGTTCACTTCTAATAGGCTTTAAAAAACACTTTATGGTTTAATATTAAGACTCATTAGAAGAACAGTTTTTCTGGTAATAATAAAGCTACCAGAGGTTCATTTTCTAGGGTTTATTGACCGAAAACAGAGAGACAACTTAGACAAGCACTGTTTCCTGTGGGGCAAGGGGACCACTCGCCAGTTCACACGACCCTGCAATGAGTTTTAATTGAGTACGGACGGCAGGAAGCTGCGGCCACGGTCGTTGCCTAGGGTGACCTTTCTACTCGAAGAATTGGACAACTAACTAATTAACTAAGCAAGCACTAAACATGTGCGCGCATGCGCATTACATAAGACCATCCGGATCTTGTACTAATTTATAATTCGGCGTTGTCAATTGTTTTGGCTGAATTGTGGTTTAATTAGAGGTGTCATAAATTTGGTAATTTATTCTTTAATTGGTAAATTGAGAAAAAGGAAACAATAACGAAAACTTAACCGTTTAAAATTTCTATTACTTTTCTAAGTTTTGTTACAGCAGTTTAACTAAGAGTTTTAGAACTTAAAAAAGTAGGAAAACCCACTTTAAATTACAGATAATTTTTTTAGAGATTTTAGGTAATTAAGAATTTATATAAGTTCAAGGTGGGATAGAGCTCCGGGCCTTTGTTAATGGACTTGAGCTTTAATCGAAAGGCGATTAACAGCTTAATCTTATCTTAAAAAATCATGAATGACGCGGAGATCTACCCCATACGCCATTACGTGATAACAAACTTACGAGTCAGTCAAATTAGATCTCGCAACCTCTCATGGACCCTCGCATGAACGTGAAATTTCAATTATAATTTATTTCTAAACGCTTTGGACACACCTACAATCTGTTAGCACTTTTCATTTAGACGAATCGCGTGATTAAAATCATCGAAAATAAAAACGAAAAGTAGACAAGGTGCAAAAAAATCTATTTTCGATTGTAACTTGGATCGACGGTTCACTGAACGAAACAAAATGTTGAATGTGGCTGCGATTGGGAGTTTTGAAGTCACGAATTAATCGGGATTTATTTAAAGTAGTTCAGTTTTGCACTTGGCGGCCTCTAGCAGAACTATGAGAATGTTAGTTACTTTTAGGATTACTATTATAGTAAATATGGTTTTAATATTAATTGCTAAAATATGTTACTGTAACCGCTTGCATCCAATTAAATTTTCTTTCCTTGTGGGCATTTAATACTTTAAAGTAGGAATGAAAAAGCCACGCTGCGCTAAGTAAGGGATATACAGACTAAAGTGTAAATTATATTTATGACTTAGTGCAAGTACTTTACTAAGTCTCGATTTTGAATCTTACTCTAAGAGAGGTTTTCGCCCTAAAAATTGGCGATGCGCCCGGCGTAGGCGACAATCAGCAACAAGTGAGAAGAAATGTGTTGTCTATGGATCTCTGTTTAAGTAAAATTAATTTTAGAATTGTAAAATTTGTGAAAGCACGAATTTCACCGGTGCATTGCAGCGTCAATAGTTAACAGTTATTCAAATGAATGCTCCACTTTATCGAAAAGACAAACGCTCTCCGCATTCCATGCGACCATCTTTGCCTTATTATGAATACGACGTAAACAATTAAGCAAGCTCATTATTATCTAAGCAATTAGAAAATATATTTATTTATTTTAAAACACATACTTAAATATAAAATATATGTTAAAGTCCGAAATACATTAATATTATGTTCTTTTTGTGCACGGGCATCACGTAGAAACTATGCATTACCTTAATTGTGCTATATTTTTAGAAGTAGATTGGTTATGCCTGATCTAACATATAGGCAATAGCAACAAGAATTAGAGAATAGAATAGAACCTTAGGTAAGGTAAAATGCTATAAAAAATTGTAAAAATTACAACCAAATTGATAGACTTTTGCTTAAATTAAATTTGTGACTAAAAAGCTAGTACATAACACAAGAAATAGCAATGTTTAATGTAAGTAACATATAAATTGTCACTAGTTGCGTTCAACAATAGCGCATCATTTATTTTCAGTTCATTTGTTTGTGTGATTATGTTTCAACACACGACAGCGAGATATTGCCTTGATGGAAATAATTTGCGGCACGATTCAGCCTTAGGCCCCTCCCAATACTCGCCACGCGCATCATAATAATTTCATGGACAACCTAATTTGCGGTTTGGCCCATCAAATTATTCACTAACATCCTAATAGCGCTTATTTGTTTTTCTAACTGGTGCTAATGGATCTCGGGAATTAAGAATTCTTATATCAGGTTACGAAAATAGACAGGACAACTTGCGAGTCCCACAAGAGAGTTAAGCGCGAATTGTACGAGTACACATCCTCGTTAGGAAAGCTTAGTTATTGTGGAGCCGCAGGCTTTGCCGAGCCTCAAGTCGTGACGGCTCTCTGTTTGACTAATGACGAAGAAAAAGAATGCCGCCTCGCATTAGGTACGACTAAACGTGGCTGTTGACTCGAACAATTTGTGCGCGCGAATAGTACTTGTCTCAGGTTCGACGTATTGTTATTTATTTCCGCTTGGATACTCGTTACGGTTACAACGTCGCAGCTTTTTAACGCCTTCCTTTCACGTCCGACGAATGGATAAAAAATTACGCTTTTTAGGTGTATTGTCGTCACATCTAAATGGAACAATGGCGATGACAATATATTATTCTGTAATTTATCGCGCTCATTTATCACTCCGGTCTTAAAAGAAAACGATAGAACGCGGCCTACTTGCAGAGGTGTGCATAAGTATCGAACAGCCATACTTCAAAGGTGAGAAATTATGTTACAGATATTGACTATATGGAGCACTTTTATTCCGAGAATCGGTAATTAGCGACAGTGGCATGTGTGGCGTCCGCGGATCGCAGCATCGCGGGGGTAGGGATCCGCAGATGGAGCCCACGCGACACAACGTCTCAAAAAAACGTAGACACGATAAAAAGCCGAGGCGACAGGCGTGAGAACGACGCCACGTGGCCATTCATGCATTTGATTCATAAACTGAGGGCACTGCTTCATTATTCGCATGACCCTATCACAATAGGACGCTCTACATACCGATATAACGAACCACAATCGACTGCATCGAAATAATGCTTTATTAATGCAACTTTGTTAGCGCGCGCATGATAATGGTGTTATAACTAAACGTTGTAAAACGCCGTGTATGATATCGAATTTTTGTATTTTTAATCAAAGCGAGGTTTTTAAGAAGTAACCTATTATACATACAACTTATTAATAATAAGCGAGTATTTATGTTAAATACACTTGGTAAAAAAGAAGCGCACTGTGGATGGAATGTAGCAAAACAACTAATTCAATACGTGAGTGGGTGGCGAGCGAGAGTGAAAAAAATATCGTCAGAAAAGGCTGCGCCGGAGTCGGGAGCCTTCATTGTTATATTCTCCGGGATAAAATCGCGGTCTCGCGGCGCCCGCTATAAATCAAGATCGATAGAGGTCGGACGCAAGTTATTTTTAAAATTGCGTGCACAATATAGTGTTTAGGCGGAATATGATAATTGTAGGAGGCGCCGTAAGCCGACACCGACTGAGGATTACAGAGCCCGAAACCCGTCGTGTCTCGCAACCGCCCGCCGCGCCTTATCACGCCTCGTTACTTGCGGAGGAATTTACGAAAATTATATTAGATCCATTCACGGTGAAAATCAAAGGGAAGCGTTGGAAAATAAGCTTTATGTACAACGAAGAAAACATCATGTTGCTTGCAAGGTATGGCGAGCTGCTGGTTCGCTAAGTTAGCATTGTCTAAAAGTAACCGAGTGCTGTTTTAAATGGTTTTAATGAAATACTTAGATATCAGTTTCTTATGTACTATTTAATTTAAATAGGATTGGTCATAGTTGAGTAGGTTGTTTTTAAACGGACTAGCTTTTGTCAGAATCAACGAAGGAGTTGAAAAAGTTCTGTGAAACAAAATGTGAGCAAAGCAACCCTCAATAGCACGTAAAACGTAATTTTACGGCGTTTGAGGTAAATTATAAAGCGTGTGGTATGTTAACAAGCGGGTTTTGTGCGTTTTCAACGCTCCTAACCTGATTATTGGGGTCACAGTGACATGACAACTTTTTTATACGATTTCATTTACATTTGAAAACGCATCAGCGGGAAGTTAAACCGCTGACAATTACGAGGGAATGTTACCCAATAATGATAACAAAGCTATTATGGAATCTATGAATAATGCTTCGATATTAGAAATTAACATATTTTTTTGTGGAATCCTTTGGTGGTGGCCGCGAACAGGTACACGCTATGAGGGTGCAGAATTCTTTGAATGGGCTTCATATTGTTCGTCCGATCGAACCATTTTGAACTCTGACACCTATACTTAAAGTTTAAAATCGTGAAACTAGGCTGGAGTTAGAGTTATAAGGTGTACGCTCAAAAGTATCTTTGAAGCATGTTATTAAGGTATTTAATCACTTGTTTCGAAGGTGCGAAGGCAGGTTAGGCTACTATCAATCAGCAAGGCGCCATTGAGGGTTGGTCGAGGCTCGTGAGAAATCATAAACACTTACCCGCTTTATCGGTTACATTTTTTTTATCATCGGGTCCGGTCAATTATTGGTTTGCGCCGTTACTTTTATTTTTGGTTTAGGTATTAGAAGAAACTAATTTATTTTTAACGCCTGACAGGCTGGGTAACGAGGTGCACTAAAGGAATGTTATCTTTGGTTATTATAAATGAAGGGTATAATGTATCCTACGGGAGGCCGAACGATTAAGTCTTTATACGATTATGTATCGATATGAATTTATATAGTTTTAATTTCTGATGTATCCATTTTCTTGATCTTTATAAAAAGACTGATTGTTAAATTAAAAAAAAGAGAAGTTGCCCACCAGAAACCTAGGAAGATGGAATAAATGGTGGCGAGGATGAGAGACAAGTCAAAGAATTTGAAGGAGGCCTGCTCTCTGTCGGGGATAGTATAATGTACTATTCATTAAATTAAATGTAATACTGAGTATGTAGTATTTGAATAGGTACAGAATATTTTTTTACTAACAAATTTATAATCGCTGAATCGAATCGCACTTCGTTATCATAATTTAGTATATTTATTTAGGAAAGTCGATGATGTTATTTAATTTTAGACAGTACAGCAGGGTGGTCGGTTAGCTATGCGCATTGTCAACACGCACTAACCACACTAAACACTAGAGTTTTTTATAAGCACATGTGCGCCAGGATACCGAGACAACCCCAAATATTTGTCTTCAATTCTAAAACGCTTAAACAATTTGATATAACAAAACTGGTTAATTTTCTACACTCTCCGTCTCAGTAAGGCTGACACCAATCTTGTGACAATCCTAGTGCTTAAAAATGAACTGTACCACTTTCTTTTTTCAGTTCTTACTTGTTCTTATTTGACCTAATTTCCAGACCCGGACGCGTTCTTGAACGTACTTGTAAACTAACGCCATTAATTATTTAACTTATTTGTTGATACACGTATTTTAACAATAAATAGGAAGCCCTAAGTATGTTCGGATATATTTAAATGGATATATTCCTTGACTCAACTCAATGAGACCAAAAATGGCTCACAGTTCTCAATCACAGAGATGAGGGAACAATTAATATGAGAATAATGGGAGAGGAATCCGATATTATTACACATACTTTGCTTTTAATTACAACCACAAATACTTCGAAAAGCGCACAAAACCAAATAATATTTACATTTTATTTACATAAATTAATTAACGAAATTGACAAATATATAAACAATTACAAACCTACTTACGTTATATCAAATCCAAAGCGAAATAAATAATTAGTGACAACGTGGCGATCGGCCGTGTAAAAACTCAAATAAACATGCATTTATTAGGAGAAAAGTAGTATTTTTTAAAATACACACGAGGACCGTGAGATGTGCGTTATCAAAGGAAGCCTCTATTAAAATATTTAGTTAGAAAACGCCCCGAGATGCCTTTTAGCGTAAAGCGGAGCCATAATAGCAGCTTACTGATTAGATATCGTCTTGGGAACAGATAACAACGTGAATTTGTTTCTATTACTACCAAACAATATATTTCATGTTTCAAAGTCTAATTTGGTGTAAAACACTCAGTACATACCACGAATAATTTCATATTCATCAACCAGTTATTGTTAAAAAGATAAAAATGAAATATTAACTTAAGCCCATAGGGGTAAATTTAATTACTATAAACTCCTTTTTATAAGATAGTAATCTCTACAAGCATTTATAAACAATTTTTAAAATGAAAACAATCCCATATCCCACTATTATTCTATGTCCCATTGAACAGATATATTTTATATATCTGTTTAGCGAAGTCATTCGTGAGAGTGCGCTAAGTTATCTTGCTAAAATTTAAAATATACGTATAATTACTAGTTTTATAGATATTTTTTGTGGCCCTGTTTGCGACCACGGTGTTTGATGTATAGTATAGACACACAAAATAAATATAATCAAAGAAAAAAATATAATATATATTTTTTTTTCCCTTTTACCATTCCGTTCGTTTAGGGATATCATTCCACCACTATATTACTATTGCTACAATGAAGAGCTTTATAACATCCTTGACGACACCAACATCATTCAATTCATAAAATGCAACAGGCTGAAGTAGTTGGGACATGTGCACCACCAAATGGCGGACGACAGCGCCCCAAGGGCCTAACTGAACTTACTACCTGATGGCAAGAGAAAACCCGATAGACCGAGGCTGCGCTTTCGGTAGTTGACAAGGACCTCAAAACAATTGGTGTTCGAAGTTGGACGCGAGAAGCTTAATAGATTGCGATGGTGAAATATATTTTAGGAGTCTAAGGCCCACAAGGGGCTGTTTAGCCATTGATGATAATGACTGTAGAGAATTAAGTTTGTTCAATTTCACTTAGTCGAAATAATATACTTAAAGATTTATCTGCATGAGTCAATAAATAAATAAACATTGCCTGTTTATCTAATGGGACGTGTCGAATGCGTGCCATCTATTCTCACGATCCGAATATGGTAAAAAACGACTCCCAAAATTATCAAAACGAAGCAACAAAGCTTTCACCTTGAAAACAACGAACCCTTGTTGTGATTTGAAAATTTCTCTAAAATGTTCATGTTAAAACATCCTATTTTAGAAATGAAAAAAATAGGAATTCTATAACAAAAAGATTTAAATATTAAACATTTTGGGCTGCTTTCAAAATGTGTGGTAACTTGCAAAAGTACCACACAATTCTTATTCATGTTAAAAGATATTTACTTTAATTAATGATATATCATCAGCAACGTAAATAATTCGGAACTAAGAAAAGTTTATATTATTTTATGCCCTCAATGGAGCAAAGTCACCTGTGTCTGTTTTAGTAATACATTTTCTATAAAACCTTCAGTTTCTACCGACCTTGATGATGGTTTTGCCGGGACTAAATTATAGTCGTTGGCCACTGAGCCACGAAGGGGGATTATAATATAATGATTTAACTTATAAGTCGAGATTAAATATTCATCTACCACCTGGATTCGGACGGATGCTTTCTGTATATTACGATAACCTAGTAGCAAATCAAGTAGAAATTTATACCTAGTTTTTAAATCAGTTTTAAAATCTAGGTATACATTTTTTGCAAATCTTCATGATTTTTAAAATGATTGATTATTTTGATTAGGAAAACATTTTGCAAGTTGTTCCTATAACAAGGTAGGTATTCTTTCATTTCACCATACCAACTGTTGATAGAACTTAGATGCTCGATGTTTATTATTATGATTAATTCCATGACATGTCAAGAGCATCTTGTAAAAAAAATATTTTGCGATTAAAAAGAGTGGCGAACAGTTTTTTGCCAGATCTACTCGACTGACTAACTGTAAGTTACGAAAACTTAAATAAATATAAAATATATGTTGACTTTAATTTTTCACCTACTTGTACTTATATATTTAACCTATTAATTTTAACGCAAAAGTACAATAAAATTGTTTATCGGTGATAAATTGCGATATAGTGTTATATCTTTGTAGCAATAACGTTTTATCAATAGGGTATCTGCATTATCTAGATGCATCAATGCATAACGGAACAAAGATCAATAAATAAATCCATTCCACGTAATTCTCACAGTTCGCCCCTTTGACTAAGCCTCATTCCTTAGCTTTCGTCTCGCTTCTGCGACCCCCTAACCCTATAGAGCTTTCTCTTTCCGCAACTTTGAATATAACCGCCCTCGCTCGAAATTCTGAGAAGTGAGCTCGTGGCATTTTTTAGAACGCATAATAATTTGATCGGGAAATATTTATGGAAAGGGTGGTTGGACGGGCCTCGCAGACTAGTCGGACGAGTCAATTATCAGTTCTCCAGAGTCGGTGCCTGAAAGACGCGCAATGGGTGGTTATCCGGACGTTTTTAAGCTGGAATTTATGGGACATTGATAGACGATAAAATTTCACACGAACAAACCCTTTCTTAAGCCACACGTTAAGTGTCTGACCGCTCATAAATCGATTCTATCTGTGATATCATCGGCCAGCATTCCTATCAGCACACTTTTGTAATATATTGTTTTTAAAATTACATTTCATGGTCTTACACCAAAATTTTTTAAAAAGGAAATTTAGCGTTAATCATATACATCTTTAATAGCCGACAAAGAAGCAAAGAATAACAGCTCTGACAGCAGCTCCATCCGAGATAATAATCGTAGCAAAGTGCTACGACGTTGTGCTACGCGTATCGTAGCCGTTGCAT